AACGTTGTACATTTTTGATATTTTGGAATGGTTAGGGAATCATTTTGCACGAATTACTTTAATTATCAGTATAAAAGTACTATCATGTATGTGGTAGAATACAATATTTATTTATTGCGATATCTTACACAAACATGACAATTTATAATACATTAAAAAGTTTATCTCTCAGAAAAATTAACTTACATGAATCACATTAAAGCGCACCTAGCGACATCTATTGTAAAAAAATACATTTTCTTCACAATAAAGATGCCACTTGGACGTCCTAGACAGAGACTTATTATTATAATACGATAAAATATAATGTTACTATTTTCGTCCAATATATTGGAAGTCAACAACCTTTCCAATTTTATTGCTTTCGTCTTACGTATTTTCGATTAAACCACGTGTTCTGACGCGATCAGGCCACGTGTCCTGACGCAAGTTTAACATTCACCCATACAAAAAAAAGTGTACAACGCCGCAAGTGCATAACGCGTAAAGAAGTTTTCCCTTCAAAAATATTTAAATCGGACTAAAATGACTAAGATCGAGCAACTTTAGTTTCAGAAACGCGCCCGAGAATGAAGCGATTCGCTGTGTCATCTGTTATGATCGGTTCACTGTGCGCTTCGAACAGCAGCGTAATCTGTCGGAATACTTTATTTATTAAAATTAAATTGCTCAGTAATTTATTGCGTTGGGGTAAAGACCCGCTTCGCCTTGCATAAAACAGAAGAACCCTTTTTGATCTGTTTAATGTAAAACGTTTTAAAACCTTGTATAGCAACAACAGTTACCATAATCCAATGTATTTGTTCATGAATCATAAACGATTTTTTGTGTCACTAAGATAGGAATAAACCAGATTTTTTCAGGCATCCGTCAATATAAAACGGTTGGATGAAAAAATATTTCTTTAAGTACTTACTTATAGGCAATCAGTTACGCGTTTGCGCCTTATTGTGATCCATTTTTTATGCACAAAAACGCAACTTTTTATTCTAATAGAGTAGTCTGTATTTACAGAAAAGCGCACAATCTCTGACCATGAACTTCATTACGTTTTGAATGCATGTTTTCATATGTTTAAGCCTGCAACAATAAAGTTAGCTTTTCGGTCGGTAATTTTGTCATAAAATATGAAGAAAACTCCTTAAGGGTGAGTTGTTTCCGATCATGGGAATCGAGTTTAGAAGATTAAAATTTATCCTTTTTAAAAGTTCCAAGATTTTTTTCCTTTTTTCAATATTTTTTATTGTTGTACTTTTCTGTCATGACATTTCTTATTGCTAAATTTCATGATTGCTTGTCAACTAGAAGTACCCTATAGTTTTGGACGCCCTGTCCGTCGATCATCATCATCATCATCAGCCTATTAATGTCCCCACTGCTGGGGCACTTTCTTCGGTCTACTTCTCTGGAATTTCTATTATTTTTGAAAGTCATCTGTTTGCCGATGAACATAGTTTTCTACATATTCGAGAGGGTTGTTATTGACCAAAATAGGTGTCTTGTAGCTGTTAATCATCACTTTAGTTTTCCCCGTGTTAATTTTTAAACTGGCTATAATTAATAAATTTTTATAGTGGCTTGCTTTAACTCTTCTATCATCTTATTTAGTTCTGTAGAGCATTCCGAGAACAGGATAATGTCGTCGGCGAATCTAAGGTGGCTTAGATAAATTCCATTTATGTGATACCTCTCCCGGACCACTATCCTTCATTATATGCTGTAGAACGGCTAAAAAAAGTTTTGGAGATAGGAGCACTCAAGGCCGATTTCTTTTGGCCCAAATAGTACATTGTATAATCATCGTCTTCTATAATATTTTCTCCTAGTCGTCGAATTTCGCGAATCCTAGTATATCATGGTTAATATTTTGTAGCGCTATGCAGCGCTAACTCTAACAGCTTGGCTGCTGCGGATCTTACGTTGAAAGTGTATATATGCAGTTTGATATTTGTTTTTTTTCCTTGGAGGGTTTTGGTCGAACTTTGCCCCGGTGACAAGCCGGTCTGGGAGATGAGAGGTGGGCAAAGAGTCCATATACTGTACACAACAAACTAGTAATGAGTAGAAATGAGAGATGCGTCGAGGGCAGTGTTGCCAGGTCCGAGTTTTAAAAATCGGGAGGCGTTATAGAAAAAAGCAGTAGATGTATGGAAACAGCTACAAGAAAAACAGTAGATGCAGAGGTGTACTTTTTCCGGTTTGTTTGTGTTTCTGTGGCTTCTGCCGCCCCTCAAAGCAATTTTCTCTTTAGACAATTACATTTATTTTATAATTATTAAGGTTATCTACATTATTAATGACGGAAAATGCAACTCAACATGCAATTTAAAAAAGAAAATCGTATTCTAAAAAACAGGAGATTCATGTAGAAAAACAGTAGAACAGGAGAAATTTCAGAAAAACAGGAGATCTCCTGTAAAATCTGGAGACCTGGCAACACTGGTCGAGGGTGTCGGCATACCAACCTACATTAGTAAAGCAGCCAGTGCTATTCATAGTCAAGTTATTTTGGTCTTCGCGGTCTACTTTGGGACCGCATGCTGTTTCAGCGAGTTCAGACGAGACAATGAGCTTTAAATGTCGATCACCTATTTATAGATTTAGTTTATTCTGAGTCACGATCAGATTCATTGCTTACTTACGATTCATTTTGTAATTATAGAATTGTTATCTATGTTTAACGTCTCGTTCAATTAAAGTTAGGTACTGAAGATAAATGTGAAAGTTCAAGTATGAGTGAGCTTATCAATATTCTTTAATTACTTAATGTTATAATTATTAAAAACAAAGTAAATAAAAATACATTATAGGTATATTTGATTTTTAAGGGTTCATCTGCTAGATGTTTATTCTTCAGAATTTCTCTTCAGAAATATAAAACTAATTATATTTATAAAAAAAGGTAGCTCAATCTCGATTGGCAATGATCTCGATTTGCACACACTTTTCGTTATCATGATTTCAATCACTAGTTATTTATTGTAAAGCTTCCAAATATTTTTGAAGTGAAAACTTCTGTAGCGGCGCGGCGTTGTAACCTTTTTTTTTGTATGGGTAAAAAATGTTAAACTCGCGTCAGGTTAAACACGTGGGCTGATCGCATCACGACACACAATAAAATTGGAAAGGTGGTTGACTTTCAATATATTGGACGAAACATGGTAATATTTTATTTTATCGTATTATAAATCGAAAATTCGTAAGACGAAAACAATAAAATTGGAAAGGTTGTTGACTTTCAATATATTGGACGAATCATAGTAATATTTTATTTTGTCGTATTATAATAATAAGTCTGTATCTAGGATGTCCAGGTGGCAGCTTTGTTGCGAAGAAAATGTATTTTTTTTACAATAGATGTCGCTAGGTGCGCTTAAATGAGTAATTCTGAGAGATAAACTTTTTAATGTTATATAAATTGTCATGTTTGTGTACGATAGCGTAATAAATAAATATTGTATTCTACCACATACATGATAGTACTTTTATACTAATAATTAAAGCAATTCGTGCAAAATTATTCCCTAACCATTGCAAAATATCAAAAATGCACAACGTTAATATTCAAGTTTTCACTTCTGCCGGCACTCCCGGAGTGCAACCCGTCGTTTTTTTTAATTATTATATCCTAAGACTGACAAACAAATAAAAGCCCATCTATTGGTAATCACTCAATATTTTTATATAAAGACGAAGACTTTAGATTTAAACTTTGTCTAACCTTTATTTTGGCTTAGCTCTGGCTCTTTTGATAGCATGAACGCAACGGTACTTAAGGAGTTTTTTTTTCGATTTATTGTAATTATTTTGAGTACCTCTGATAACAAAATTTTATATCTTGCCAAACTGAGAACAGTTTGTTGGCGAGTAACTGCGCTACTAATCACATAACAAGTGCACTACAATCTCAAATAAATACAAACACGACATATATAATGCGATTCAACTAAGAATAGAACCGACTGGGCGCCATATTGTGATGTCATAGCTGTCAATTCAAATCAAATAGGTAGAGTGAGCAAAAAGAAGTTTTTATTTAATAAAACTTATTTACAAAGTTAAGTGAGAACAAGCATCAGATTTTTTTAATAACATTTATTTATGAAGACCTTGAGAAAAAACATTAATCAGAATCTAGCTTTTCTATTCCGTTCATCTCTGCATTACCGCCGGAGTAGTTATGAATAATCATGCACTATTACTAGGTCACATACGAACATGCATCCTTTATGCAAACGAAAGTTTAAAATCGAGTTTTTGAACGCAACTTAAAGTGACATTTGGTTGACGATTTAGATTATCAACCATTAAAGCTCAATAAGTAAAAAAAATATCAACCGATATTAATTATCAATATTTGTTATTGTTTGTTTACAAATGTTTGGTTTTTATTCTTGAATTAGCGGAGTGCTAAAAGTTCTTTTTGCTAACCGTACTTTTCAAGCGGAATTTGACAGATAGAGGTCATTGGCTTTCCTATTCTTATTTGAATCGCATTATACACACCAGCAGCAGATGCGTTACTATTTGAAAATTTCATTCCTTTATGAGAAAGTACCTTACGAAATAACAGTACTTGTTTTTTGGATTTTTGTGTGTTTTTTTCGTTGAGGAGCTCGATGGCGCCAGTGGTTAGCGCGTTCGGCTGCGATCGTTGAACTTAAGCAACTTTCGCAGCGGTCGGTCATTGGATGGGTGACCAAAAATTACCATCTAGAGCTCCTCCGTACTTCGAAAGGCTCGTTAAGCCGTTGATTCCGGCTGCATCTGCAGTCGTTAGCATCCACCAATCCGCACTGGGCCCGCGTGTTGGGTCATGGCCCAATCTCCCTATATATCCCTAGTGGGGACATTAATAGGCTGATGAGGACGATGAAGGTGTTAGGGCTGCACGGAGTAGGAAATACTTTCTGTCGGGTGGGGTGGTTAATCCATCGTATGATTAAAATAAATACATTGATATTTTTTTTATGATGTAACCAACCATGTTTCCCTTCCAGATGCCACGTCCCAGAATGCGAGAACAAGACCCTCGGACCACCCAGTGTCGAGGACTGGCAGCCGGAGTGGATGGGCTGGTCCCTGCCTGAAGATTCGCGCTGCCACCGCTGGCAGTCGGTAGATGGCGCCTGCAGCCGCGACTCCTTCGACAACGGCACTCGCCTGCAATGCGAGGCCTTTGTCTACCAGACCGGCAGTAGCATTGTTGCTGAGGTCAGTACTTAATTTAGATGGCACGTCCCTTACTCCGAGAACAAGACCTTCTTTCCAGCCAGCGTGGATGGGCCGGCCAATCCTCCCGGACTTGCGCTGCCATCGCTGACAGCCGGTAGATGAAGCGGCCCTGACTAATTCGACAACGGCACTCGCCTGCAGTGCGAGGCCTTTGTCTATCAGAGCGGCAGTAGCATTATTGCTGAGGTAAGTACTTAATTTAGATGGCACGTCCTTTACTCCGAGAACAAGACCTTCTTCCCAGCCAGCGTGGATGGGCCGGCCGATCCTCCCGGACTTGCGCTGCCACCGCTGACAGCCGGTAGATGAAGCTTGCGGCCGTGACTAATTCGACAATGGCACACCTGCAGTACGAGGCCTTCGTCTACCAGTGAGCACTTAATTAAGATGCGACATCCCAGCATGCGAAAACAAGTCCCATGGTCCAGCCAGCGTGGAGGACTGGCAGTCAGAGTGGATGGGCTGGTCCCTGCTTTACTTGAAACATAATATTAAATAGTTTATGTAACTTAAGTTTCTCTTGTAGATTTGACATTGTAAATAGTAAATCAAGTGGAAGTGATATTTATTCGTGTTTAAATATTTATTAATAGACCTGCACAAGCTGCGAAGGAAGGTTAGCACTCGGATGTGTTCTAAGTACGTCTTTAGCTTTCGGACCAGCATACATAGAATAGCACAGAAAATACATATTAGTATTTATTGTGTTACGTCTCAATAATATCAAATAGGCGCATACAGCTGGTGGCTGGGGGTTTATTGCCGTTTCCTCTCGTGCAGTACAAGTTCTTTTTCTTCTCAGAAGAAGTCTCTTGGTCAAGATTTGACAACCGATTCCGACAAGCTTTTAATATGTGAACTCAATTGAAAACTACATTTAGTTTTTGGAGTTTACTCCTTAAGAATCGATTTGCATATATAAAGGGCCCGGTATGAAAATGTGAGCAGTAAAATCTATCGATGAATGACCTCGTTACGTTTTTGGTGCGCATCCTATGTCGCGCAATACCCTACATATACAGGTGCGCATCCTATGTCGCGCAATACCCTACACTCACAACCAAATTAGAAATTTGGTTGTGAGTGTAGGGTATAGGGACACGTGCATAGGGTATACTGCAAAGCGACTATACCTATATGTTATTGGGTTTGTTTATTTCTATCAGTGTCGACATACTTATATTGCTGTGTTTATTTGCATTAATTTGTTAATTTACCCTTTCATACAGTTTCAATCTTTTTTAAGTTAAATAAACTCTTTTTGCGACTGATTAGACTATCGAACTTAAGGAGTAAACTCCAGTCGTGCGTCGGAGCTGACACACACAATTTTTTTTGTTTTGAATTTCAAGCACACCTCACTGGGGATTTTATTCGCAGTTTGATTTGGCATGCCAGGAGTGGAAGCGATCGTTGGTGGGGACGGTGCACAACGTTGGTATGCTCATCTCCCTGCCCATCATGGGATTTGTATCAGACAAGTAAGTCCATATTTTAAATGATCTGTAAATAAGTTATCATCATTATTAGCAAGATTAGTTTACTTTGGTTACTTTCATAGTGTTATGTCATATGGCCTTTTGTTGTGGGGCTCAGCCGCTAATGTCGAAAGTATTTTCATACTGCAAAAGAGAGCTGGAGGCCTACTCTATTTCAACGAAAAACGAAATTTCGATCGAAATTTCGCACGTTCCTTACTCTGTTTCTATTTCATTTCGAAAATTCGTTCGTCGGAAAATAGTTTGACATTTATATTCTCTAAGCCTACTCTAATTCACAAAACTTTTGAAGTAAAAGTTGAATTTGACAGATAATTGTTCGAAATTTTAACCTCAAATTTTTATTTAAAAATTAACCTTAAATTACTACTAGAGTATTTTTAATTAAGGCTGCTTAGCGTGAGGATCATTTTTTAGTATGGAAAATTTACAAATAAATCAAATTTTTGTTTATTAATGTATTGCCAATACTTCAAAGTGTTACACGACAAATTTAGGTTGACATAAATTCGATTGCATCAACTCTACAAATTAGTCGGCTAACACTGTCAAAAGAGGTTTTTTTAATGTAATCAAAATTTTGTCATAAAGTAATATTGTTTTGAAGTAAAAAACGTTATCTAAAAAGTGTAGACAAAAAGAACTCACAAACATAACTCATTCCATTCGTTCACGATAATTGTCTTTGATTTCGAACTTTATGTGCGTGTTCGAAGATGAAATAGAGTAGTCACTGGCGAAATTTCGTTTAAAATTCGTTCGTTGCCGAAATTTCGTTTCGGAGAAAGAGAGTAGAGCTCCTGTTCGCGCCATATACAATTTAAAGGCAAGAGAATCCCTTAGAGAAAAATTTAAAGAAATTAATATTTTAACACTGGCGTCGCAATACATTTATGAAAATTTAATATATGTAAGAAAAAACTATGATGCATTTGCAAAAAAAAGTCAAACCCATAACTTTAACACGAGATTTAAGAACAAGCTTGCCGTTCCATGTTTCAGACTCCAAAAATCAAGAGGTTCATTTCTGGGTTGTAGTATTGCATTGTTTAATAAAGTTCCCCAAGATCTGATTGAGCTTCCACTGACTAAATTTAAATCTCAGATCAAAAATACTCTTATGAGCTATTATAAAGTTGATGATTATCTAAATGATCGTAATGCATGGACATAGTGTTTCTTATAATTTGATATTAAATGGGTATTAGTCATTTTTCATAACAGTAATATTGTACCTATCTAATGCCGCTTCCTATATACTAAATATAATGTTAACTTTAAAATTAATTGTAACTATATATTTATATTCTAAACGATGTAATGGAAAGTGACTTCAGACGTATTTCTGAAGTCATTTTTCAACTTGACGACACTGTATATATCAATACAGGGAGAAAAAAACAGATCTTGCTGAGTTTCTTGCCGGTTCTTCTCAGTACAAGGTCTCCCGCCGTAGTTTTGCGAACCGATGGCGTAGCTTCTTGACCTTCACAAGTGCTTGTAACAGCCTAGACTGAATAAATGACTTTTCATTTCATTTCAAATGATCTGTAAATAAGTTATCATTGTGCTGGAAAAAGTGCATACCAGCCATTGTGTAAGCTACGTTTACGTTAGAAAATGTCGAAATATGGTTCATTAAATACACACATCAAAAGTGTCTAGGGATCAAGCATTTTTATGCGGATTTCTTGAGATTGAGATGTGGCTTTGTAATAAATTTATGATTTTATAAATTTATATGGATCCTTTTTGGTGCATTTCATAATTTGAATCAGGAACTGTGAATCAAATTCGAGTAAAAGATGAAAATCAGCTGTCAATATTTTCCCTATAAAAACATACAACGCATTGAAGACATTATTAGTGCTACTGTTTCCCTACTACTGATTAAAACCAACGTTATTATGGAGCGGCGACGTCATTTAAGCAGGGAAGAAATGCTCAGAGCCGTGGGAATGATAGAAGCTGGTTCCCGGCAACGTACTGTGGCTTTAGCTCTGAATACAAGTCAGAGTGTTATCAGTCGACTTTGGACACGATACCGAAGCACTGGTACCGTGGCTGAGCGCCATGGAGGACGGTATCGCTGCACCACACGGAGACAAGACCGATACATTCAAATCTTAACTCTAAGAGCTCCAACAATAACCGCCATGATGTTAGCCGTGAGGCTTCATCACTCTTCAGGGAACTTAATTAGCGACCAAACAGTCAGAAACCGCTTGCATGAAGTGAACCTTCATTCCCGAAGACCGCTACGGGTACCACCTATAGCAATGCACAATCGTAGGATTCGATATCAATGGTCTCTTGAACACAGAAATTGGGCAGAAGAACAATGGCGTTTCGTGTGCTTTTCTGATGAGTCTCGTTTTGGTATGAGACCGGATACAAGACGTATACGACACTGGAGAACCCCTGGACGCCAACAGCGATTAAAATCCTGCCAGGAAGTCCATCCTTATAGTGGTGGAACCATCATGGTATGGGCGGGTATTTGGATCGGCGGAAGAACTGAGTTGATTTGGATCAGAGGCAACCTCAACGCTCAAATTTATGCTGAGACGATTGTATCAGACGTCATCGTTCCTCTACAAGTGCAAATCGGTCCCTTATTTCAGTTAATGCATGATAATGCACGACCGCACACCGCAAGAGTTGTAAGACAGACTCTCGCCGCAGCTAACATCAATGTCCTGCCCTGGCCTGCTCAGTCGCCAGACTTGAACCCGATTGAGCATGCATGGGATATGCTACAGAGAAGAGCTCTGCCGAATATGGAGGGTATCCAGTCGCAAGAAGACCTTTTTTTGTTGTTGCAACGAACATGGGCGGCCATTCCACAGCGTGATTTGGATGAACTCATTTTGAGTATGCCAAACCGATGTTCTTGTGTTGTTAGTGTTCGCGGTAGAAATACGGATTATTAATTGTTTAAGTTACCCAATAAAATTTTAGAGAAAACTGTTATTTCAGTCTTTTTTTCGAACTTTTGTGTTAGTGGTTCAAATGTCAAAAATCCCTTTATTAGGAAAATGGCAAATTTCTTTATTAATGCAAAGGTGACTTGGTTTATCGTTACTGTGACAAACGAAAACACTTTATTTGATGAATCCTTAAAGAAAATTTTAATTAATATCAATCAGGAGAAAAGTTATTGCAAAAATATATGTTGATCCCTAGACACTTTTGATGTGTGTACTTTTTTTTGCAACACTCAGAGACGTTAATCAACTATTAGGTTTGACTAAAGTTGATGCTGTCACTTTCTTTACGATAATAGAATGATACAACACGTGAGTTACTTAAAGCAATAAATTAAGTTTAGTGCCTGATTACGGCTGTTACTTCAGGAAGCCATTCACCTAAAGAGATTGCTATGGCGCTATCGCTTACAATTTTATTTTGTTATTTCTGGCCGCCTGAGGCTTTCAAATACATCGCCCTCTTTTTTTTCTTCTTTTACATTGGTAATAACGATATTAAAGAAAATAAGCGCGAGGTATTTGAAAACCTTCAGTGGTCAGAAATACCTAAATGATATCGTAAGCGTTAGCGATAGTCATAGCCATCGCGTGAGGCAATTGTGCCTCAGAACTGCTTTCTGTAAGCAAAGCAATCTTATATTGACATAAAACAGCAGAACTCAGAGATGTCAATCACTTTCATTGCTATAACACCACATAAATAAATAAATGACAATAGTGTGTAACATCATTGGAAACATTGGTATTTGACGATTTAAGGCGCAATAACACTGGGTCGTTAGCTCGAATGCAATTGCCAATGGAATTCGGACAAACGGCTAAGTGTAAATGAACGGAATCGAGTACCTCTGTATTCCATTTTGGTTCCCCCCAATCTAGCATTACTGAGGTATGTTCCACCTAGAAGAGGGCGCAGGTTCGTTTGCCCGAGTTCCAGTGCCCGAACGTAGGGATGCGCCGATCCGATCCGATCCTTTAAAAGATCGGATCGGAAGGCATACGATCCGGTGATTTTCGGATCGGATCGACGCCATACGATTTATTGCCGGATAGTTACAAAACTTGAAAGATCGGATCGGAAGGCATACGATCCGGTGATTTTCGGATCGGATCGACGCCATACGATTTATTGCCGGATAGTTACAAAACTTGAAAGATCGGATCGCTGGGATCGTATGAATTAAAACGCGGTTTGTTTACAATAAATTGGGTAGGTACTTACTAAGGTTTCTGTTACGAACTTTATCTTTGTTTACATTTTAATTTGGCGGCATTCTTTGCAGGTGGATCCGTTAATCTTATACATTCTATTATTATAAACAAAAGTTGTACCTGATTAGGTGTGACGATTATTGATAGGTTTACCAAATAAAAATCTAAAAAAAATTGTCTTATTTATTGTATCCAATCCGATCCGATTTCTTGAAGATCGGATCGACGGCACGCGATCCGATCCGCGGATCAGATCGTAGCATTACGATCCGAAAAATCGGATCGACGGCCCGTATCGCACATCCCTACCCGAACGTGAGTAAAACCATGTAATTATTGCATCGGGTGCCCGAAGTCAAGCAATGTCTTTTGTGCACCCGAATACAAGAGGGGTGATGACGGGGTACAGTAAACGAAATTCTATTAAGTCCGTCAGTTAGACGATCAAAAAATAATGGACACGTATTTTTTCTTTGGGCAATCGACCAAAAAATGACAAAGTTATAGGGCGTCAAAGTTTGGGAGTAGGGGCTCGTGACGTCACTTTTGAGTGAATTTTCACTTATAAGTGTACTCGAACGTGACGTCATGCGACTTTTCAAATCAATATATCTCTGCAATGTTTATATTATGTGAAAAAAGAAAAAATACGTGTCCAATACTTTTTGATAATCTACCTGATAAACGAAGAAAAAAAATTAGTCATCATCCCTATTCGTAAGTGAGTTTCTTGTAATTCCTCTATTTTCAACGTTAATTCTTTACCAGGTGGGGCAGAAGAGCGGCACTGATAGCCAGCGGTTGTGGCGCGGGATTCTTGGGTCTCATCAAGTCCTTTGTGAACTCCTATCCCACGTACCTGGTGGCTGAACTGCTGGAAACTGTGTGTGGCGCAAGCGTATATCCAGCTGCTTTTGTGTTGAGTAAGTACGAGAATCTACAGCTGAACAACAGACAAATAAATAATGAAAGAAAAAAATTATATGCCAATAAATGAGGAGCTCGATGGCGCAAGTGGTTAGTGAGTTCGGCTGCGATCGTTGAAGTTAAGCAACTTTCGCAGTGGTCGGTCATTGGATGGGTGACCAAAAATTTACTATCTCGAGCTCCTCCGTGCTTCGGAAGGCACATTAAGCCGTTGGTCCCGGCTGCATCTGCAGTCGTTAGCACCCACCAATCCGCACTGGGCCCGCGTGGTGGGTCATGGCTCAATCTCCCTATTCCATCCATAGGGAAGGCCTGTGCCCCAGCAGTGGGGACATTAATAGGCTGTCTAAAGCCTCGATAAATAACTATAATGTATCGGGAAAATGAATAAGTTTTCTTTCCAAACTTCACCGTTCACAGTTGGGAAAGAGCTTTTTAATGTGTCAGGTTTAAAATGATATTTTTATAATGTAGTCTATTAGAAGGTTGCTCTGATGGTCCATCTATAAAATAACCAAAAGCCATTCAGACGATTTTTTTCACGAATCTATAGCAGATTTATATTGTTATTTTAATACATTTTCATAGTATAAAGGAGCATTTTTATTGAAGTTATACTTCTTTAGGCGCGTTATGAAAAAATGATGAGAGTGAAATTTTAAGATAAATGCATCGCGCGCGCATCACTTGCCAACTTCATGCGTTACTTTTGTGTTTACCAACAAAATAGAAATAGAATCTCTATTTAGTGGGTGCTAACGACTGCATTGTGAAGGCCTATCAAAAGTATTTATTAATCTGGAACAACGGAACCAAAGCGCGATTCAGGAGACTACAGCGCCATCTCTTGACCATTGGTGTAGTAGAACCAAAGACCACATCTTTATTTTTTGTAATAAAGTAACAGTTATAGGTATTCATATTTATAATATTTATCCACATGTTTCTAGTTTGTATATTCGGAATACGTTTTTGAGTTTCATACAAGTGCAAATCACATATGTTCTAATAAATTATATTCAGTAGCGATTTTAATTGAATATTTTGATTATTTATTTATTTTGTCAAATTAAAACAACTTTATTGACTGTGTCCTTTTACAGACTTTTTATTAATTTATTGTAATTAATTATTTGCATGCAATTAAAAACTAATTTTAAAACATGCCAAAGAAGGATAACTTCTCACGCGCCTACATAAGTACACGCACCCATTTTTGTTTTTATATATATTTTAGGTATTAATGATATATTTCTATTTCCAGTGATAGAATGGCTGGGTGTTGAACAGAGAATCCTTGCAAGTTTAGTCTTGGGAATACCGCTAGCGATGGGAGCCGCAACGCTATCATTGCTGGACTACCTCACAGGTTACTGGAGAACTTGGGCAAGATTCGCTTACCCCCCGTCCTTTTTATTGCTCCTGTACCCCTGGTTGCTGCCAGAGAGTGTGAGATGGCTGACTATCCAGGGCCGTTTGAACGAGGCTGTCCAAATCATTAAGAGAGCAGCGAAATATAACAAGGTCATAATTCCTCAAGACGGCCTCGAGAAGATGCTCCTAAATGAAGCCGAACAAGTGAACAATAAAGTGGAGGAGATCATTGAAGATGAGAGTCTATTTAGAGCTTTATTCAAGTGAGTCATTATTTATATAGGTATTATGTTGTTATGTTTTTATTGTTTTTAAGCTTTTAACTGCTAGATGTTTAAATCTAAAGAAAAGTTTTACTAGAAAAAATCCACGCGGACCAGGCAGCGGACGGGACTCGAACCCGCACCCTTCGCAATCCGGGCGAATGCACTGACCAGTTATGCTACCACGGCCCTGTAACCGCGTCGAAATTTTCCTAGCCTTAAGCTGCAAGGCAGCGCCATCTCTTCGCATTGTAGGTAACCCACAATGTCAAATGAATACTTTTTCAAGTATTAAACATTTGAAAGAAGAAATAGCAATAGGGAAGATGCAATATTTTTATTTTTGTTTTCATTTTAAAGAATTCCATGTAGAATAAACCACAGATATATTAAAAAATTAAAACATTGTGATTTATCGGAAAAAATGCGGTTTTAAATTGACAATTTAAATTTTCGCGCGAAAACGAACCTATGGTTGCGATGACGTCACTCCTGTCTGTCACTGGTCGTAATTGTTCGTTGCTGGCTTTAAATTTTCATACTTTTGCATATTTTTTCGACTTTCGAAATATTTTTTTGAAAAATTTAAAATGGACTATCCATCAACATCATGTGATCATAACAATACCACTAATATTCCGAAAAAAAGCCGTGTTGACTCATGTTTTGTGCCAATCTACTTCAACAAAGTCCCAAATAAATTGTTTTTGACTGGAACTTCTGACCCAAAACTGAAAAAAAAGTTTCAAGCTGCGAAGAGAAATGACAATTATTCTCCAAAGACCATTATTCGATGCTGAGAAGATCACTTTGATGTAAGTCGGCGTATATACTTGTTATATGCTTAATTAATCTGCTTGTACGTAAAAACGCATTAGTAACCTACCTAATACTTACAAAACCTGTCTATAACATATTTTTAATTTTACAGTTGGAGAATGACGTCGAAAATTAGATAAAGTTTAAAATGTGTGGCACAATCTTCACATTGGCAGGACTGAACCAAGCTTTGCGTTTCATTTAAAATAACTGTAACACGATAACCTTCTTTACGTACTTTATGCTCCGGAGAACTCGACCTTTTACTGTACATAATTTTCCATCTCTTTTAATTTGGACATAGCCGATTGCATTATCGCCATAAGATTTGTAGAAGCCGCTGAATAAAATACGAAGTTTAACAACTACGATTTTTACATACCGTAGTAACTTAGTCCCTTTCATTTCTACTCTTAAAAACTCTGCACTTTGGACAAAAAAAGTTATAACCATGTCAACGCTAACTCTTGGTAAATTCCTGGAGTCTGCTTTGATAAACGCAACTTCCATTTTTATGAAATGTAAAAAAACGCAATAAATATTCCCATAAAATAATATTTACTTTAACAACCATAACCTCAAAGAAGTTTTCATAACAGGAGTGACGTCACTAAACGCTGATTGGTGTTTTAAAATACGTTCCGTTTCAAGTATTTTTAATTCGTAATAATTGTTAAAAAACAACATTATGTAAAATAAAAACGTTGCAGTGGCATTTCTTTTATATTTTTTTAACATTTTAATCATAAAATTTTCATAAATATTATATATGCATCTTCCCTATTATAGTTATGTTATGGGTATAATGTTGTTTGATAAGGTTAATGGCAAAGGTCTGGGACATAGACCTTCTAGATATATCCACGGAATGAATAATTTCGAAATGAATGAACTATTGTAGGCGATGTACAGGCAAACAGTCTATTATTATTTTTGAACAAATTAAACCCATTTAATGATGTTTGGAAATTATTATGATCACGCAATTTAATGCTGTCTCCATAAATTAGGGACGAGGGCTTAGTTACGTTGCAGCCATTATTTATTTTACCCCTTTTTATTTATTTCATGATAATATTCATTTGATTTGTTTGTTTTTGCAGACATTATTTATGCTGCAATAAATTTATCGTAATTTTACTTTATTCGATTGAAAGCAATTGAACAATAGTTTCGATTCTGGCATAATTATCTAAATCTAAAATTAATTTGACAACAGTGTATCCTTGTCATTCGCTATACAGAATGAAAAGGAGAGACTATTTTTAAATCTAGTATAAAGTTTAGAGAACCATGCCAGTATCGACACCAATATTTACTCGAACTTTACTAAGCTTAACTTTTTATTTTTTATAGCTATGTAGGCAAATGACTCTACCCCACCTGATGTTAAGAGGTGATAAAGTCCAAACGTGAAGATAGCTGGTACAGCAGTTATAAACTGCCACACCCAAGCCAAAACCATTCTCACCTTGCTGGCATGCAAAAATGCTTCTTCATGCCTCTCTTAAACGACCCCAGATTATAGGAAGGAGGGAACACGTGCGCGGGCAAATAATTCCACTTACGAATAGTACGACAAGGGAATGAGTCACCAAATTTCTTTGTTCGTGTAGGAATAGTGGCCACAGTAAGTCGGTGGCAACGTAGGCCAGCAAGCGTGGTCCTCTGAAGAAAATGTGATTGAGGGATAAATCACATTTTTTGAGACAGCGTTGCCATTGATACAGAAATTGCCGTAATATAAGGCAATTCGAGCTCATAATTGTAGATTATAGGGCAGGTTTGTCATTACCGTATAATAATATATGGCAATCCAATTTGTTTTGAATCGATTTGCAAGGATAATATTAGGAGTTAATTACGATTCCAACAAAACATCGTTTAGTACGGAGAATGTATCCTTACTGGGAATCCCCGTACATTAGTTACTGGAACTCTAACGTAAATGGAACTCTTTTGGCAAAGCAAGTCATCAGAAATCAAATTAAATATACAACATTTCAGCCATCCCGTGACATGTGTGTGAAAATTAAAAATAAGGACAAATATTGTTTAAATAAACACGACAGCGAAATAGTTGAGTCTATTAGAAATCTGTATAGCGATGATATTAATGAGTAGATTAATTTTTTTTCTTGCAAATTAGTTACTATTCTAACTACCTATAAATTTTAATTAATAAAAATAACGAATACGGGTATATCATTATTTTTATTTAAAAACTAGCGGTACGCCCTCGCTTCGCTTCGGTGTAGAGCTGAAGCGTAGACTACACCTGCATGCAAAGTCTCAGCCCGATGATCGGTTTAAAATTGACAAAGTTTCATACAAACTTTCATTCCCTATTTTATCCCCTTGGGGGTAAAATTGATCAAAATCCTTTCTTAGCGGACGCCTACGTCATAACATCTACCTGCATGCCAAATTTCAGCCCGATCCGTCCAGTGGTTTGGGCTGTGCGTTGATAGATCACTATGTCAGTCAGTCACCTTTGAGTTTTATATCTAACTAGCTGACCCAGCGAACTTCGTACCGCCCTAAAAAAATAGGGGTTGTCCAGCGGACAAAATTGTGAATCTAAACCATTCTCAGATCTCTTTGAACACACACAAAAAAATTCATCAAAATCGGTCCAGTCGTTTAAGAGAAGTTCAGTGACATACACACTCACAGAAGAATTATATATATAAAGATATATAAAATTTTCGTGTCGCGGTGTTTGTGGTTAAACTCCTCCGTAACGGCTTTCCTGATTCTCATGTTGTGTGCATATTGGATAGGTCTGAGAATCGGACAGCGTCTATTTTTCATCCCCCTAAATGTTAAGGGTAATCCAACCCATTTTTTTTTTCAATTTTAGATAAAGCATTTTTTTTTATTTTTTATGATACATCATACAAAAATACATACATCCCTAAATTTTCAACTTTCTACCACCAACCCCTATTTTTTTATGGCGGTACGAAGTTCGCTGGGTCAGCTAGTACATATATAGATACGACAATCTGATGTATTGAATCATCATCAGCCTATTAATGTCCCCACTGCTGGGGCACAGGCCTTCCCTATAGATGAAATAGGGAGATTGGGCCATGACCCACCACGCGGGTCCAGTGCGGATTGGTGGGTGCTAACGACTGCAGATACAGCCGGGACCAACGGCTTAACGTGCCTTCCGAAGCACGGAGGAGCTCGAGATAGTAAATTTTTGGTCACCCATCCAATGACCGACCACTGCGAAAGTTGCTTAACTTCAACAACCGCAGCCGAACGCGCTAACCACTTGCGTCATCGAGCTGCTGCGCCATCGAGCTCCGATCGAGATGTATTGAATACGGCAACTCTATCAAACTCGATGGCAACACTGAGAGAGAATAAACTTTAAACATTCAGATATGGCGCTCTTCGACGGCGTCTATGCGTCTGCTTCGTGTGGTGGGCGTCGGCGGTATTCGTATTCTACGGGCTGGCGGTGCAGGCGCATGCGCTGTCCGGCTCCGCGCACGCCAACTATGCGCTGGTCGCGAGCGCAGAACTACCCGCATTGATTGCAAACACGCTTCTACTAGACCGCGTTGGCCGACGACCGCTGCTGACAGTCGCGCTGCTGATCACGGCCACAGCCCTTATTACCATTCCATGCCTGCCTGATGGTGAGTATTCTTGATGAATATCTTAAGCCTTGATGACACCGGGCGAGTTTACAAGCTACAAGCCAGCGTGTTCGCTTCTACTAGACCGCGTTGGCCGACGACCGCTGCTGACAGTCGCGCTGCTGATCACGGCCACAGCGCTTATTACCATTCCATGCCTGCCTGATGGTGAGTATTCTTGATGAATATCTTAAGCCTTGATGACACGGGGCTTTAGTCACTGCAACAGCGCTTAATTATCGTCTGCTTGATGGTAAGTATTTTAGATACTGGCAGTGTAGATGAATGCGCTGGTCGCGAGCGCAGAACTACCCGCATTGATTGCGAACACGCTTCTACTAGACCGCGTTGGCCGACGACCGCTGCTGACAGTCGCGCTGTTAATCACGGCCACAGCGCTTATTACCATTCCATGCCTGCCTGATGGTGAGTATTCTTGATGAATATCTTAAGCCTTGATGACACCGGGCGAGTTTACAAGCTACAAGCCAGCGTGTTCGCTTCTACTAGACCGCGTTGGCCGACGACCGCTGCTGACAGTCGCGCTGCTGATCACGGCCACAGCGCTTATTACCATTCCATGCCTGCCTGATGGTGAGTATTCTTGATGAATATCTTAAGCCTTGATGACACGGGGCTTTAGTCACTGCAAAAGCGCTTAATTATCGTCTGCTTGATGGTAAGTATTTTAGATACTGGCAGTGTAGATGAATGCGCTGTCCGGCTCCGCGCACGCCAACTACGCGTTGGTGGCGAGGGCTAAGCCACCAGCTTGGCCACATCGGCCGACGGCCACTAGCTGATAGCTGATAGCAGCGCTAGTGATCACTGCTACTGTTCTTATTTGATATTTGACGACCTCCGTGGCCGAGTGGTTTGTACGCCGGGTTTCAAGGTGTCGCCGACTCGAGAGGTCCCGGGTTCGAATCCCGGTGGGGGCAGATGTTTGTGTGATGAATACGAGCATTTGTATTCCAGTCATGGATGTTTAACATGTATTTCTATATAAATATACTTATATGTGTACAGTATATGTATTCTATCCGTTACCCTAGTATCCCATAACACAAGCCTTATAGTGCTTACTTTGGGGCTAGGCTAATTGGTGTGAGTGTTGGTAATATTTATTTATTATTATTTATTTATTACGATTCCTTGTCTGCCTGACGGTAAGCGTTTTAGAGTAAATGCATGAGTTGTCTAGCTCGGCGCACGCTAACTGCGCGCTGGTAGAAAGTGCTGAACTACCCGCCTTGATTGCGAACACTCTGCTACTAGACCGCGTTGGCCAACGACTGCTGCTGATCACTGCCACAGAGCTTATCATTCCTTGTTTACCTGTTTTTTTTTTAATCTTTTTTGTTTAGGAGCTTTTGTCCGATGACATGACAGCTCCATCGAAACAAACTAACGAGTACTGAACTACTTAATTAAGAATTGTAAAATTATTACATTAGATTTCGTACTTGTGTAATTTACTGGCAGCATCTCTTATCTATTAGACAAGTCCGTCCGTCCGTCCGTCTGTCTGTGGTGCTGTTTCAGCGGCCAAACCGTAAGAGATAGATAAAGAGAATGTTTAAATTATAAGTTAAGAATAGTCTGATAAGACTACAAACCGGATTTGAGTAACGTAGCACTTCCGGTTTTCGAGAAATCACGAATTCTAAACGAAACCACACAAAATCTCCGAAGTTCTCAATTAATTAAATACATTTTTTTTTAAATCAGGTTTTGGTGCATATTTGGTTCACTGGTTTGCTAGTTCCACTTAACTACACAAGTACAATGCGGGTTCTGATTCGGGGTTGCTCATGATCCTGATGATGCGTGTAATAGAGACTGTAACTGCTACAGCGTTTCTATATCGCCTGTCCGATGATAGCGTTGTTCTAAGGGTTCGCAGTATAGATGAAAGAGTTATTTTTGATGTGTAACATCTTTCCTCTCGCTTTCCTGCAATTTGTGGGAGTGATTTCGTGAAATGGGACGGAAGTGTGTAACAGGAAGTGGCGAAAGCGCGTGCTATTTGATTTGATTTTAGAACTTAATGTTCAAATGGCTTATCCCTTTTGTAGTAGGTTTTATTTCTTTTTTTTTACTAATATAAGGTAAGATTTCAAATGTTATAATACGATTCAACTAAGATAGGACCGAATGGGCGCCATATTTCGACGTCATTTCTGTCAATTCAAACCAAATAGGTAGAGTGAGCAAAAAAAAAAAAGATTTTATTTAATAAAACTTCTAACTAAGATTAAGTGAGAAAAAACATCAGATTTTTTTTATTAAAATTTTTAATAAGATTGAGAAAAACAACAACTAATTTTTATAAATATTTATTTATTCTAGTTCTTCAATTCCGCTCATCTTTGCATTACCGCCGGAGTAGTTATGAATAATCATGCACTATTACAAGGTCACATACGAACATGCATCCTATAGATAAACGAACGTTTTAATTGAGTTTCTAAGCGCAACTTAAAGTGACAATTGGTTGACGGTTTAGGTTATCGAACATTCACAGCCAAAGTTCATTAAATGAAAAAAATATCAACCAATATTAATTATCAATATTTGTTATTGTTATTTTACAAATGTGTGGTTTTTAATGTAGAATTAAATAAATAAATATTTCCAACACTCACACCAATTAGCCTAGCCCCAAAGTAAGCACTGTAAGGCTTGTGCTAAGGGATACTAGGTTAACGGATAGAATACATACACTGTACATATATAAGTATATTTATATAGAAATACATATTAAACATCCATGACTAGAGTACAAATGCTCGTATTCATCACACAAACATCTGACCCTACCGGGATTCGAACCAAGGACCTCTCGAGTCGGCGACACCATGAAACCCGGCGTACAAACCACTCGGCCACGGAGGTCGTCGAACGAATTAGCAGAGTGCTAAAAAGGGTTCCAAGGTTTTTTTTGCAAACTGTACTTTTCAAGCGACATTTGACAGTTGGAGGTCATTGGCTTTCCTATTCTTATTTGAATCGCATTAAAGACATCATACGCGACTACTGTAAGGCTCGTTCGTTTTTTTTTCACAGCAAACAGCGGTGTAGGCACGGCGCTATACTTGCTGGGCAAGATGGGTGCAACGATGTCCCTGAACGCCCTGTATGTGTACACAGCGGAGTTGTTCCCTACGCGAGCGAGACATCGTCTACTGGCCGCCTGTTCTACCATGGGCAGGCTGGGGGCTATCCTAGCGCCGCTGACACCGTTGTTGGTGAGTTTCCAAACAAACCAGTTTGAGGTTAATGAGGTATTATCATCATCATCAGCCTTATTAATGTCCCCATTGCTGGGGGGCTTCCCTAAGGATAGTTGACATCAACACATGTGTAGGAAGGCCAAAGGGGAAGCTCTTTCTCCGAGCTGGGTGATGGTAGCTCGGGGGCCGCGGCCCGACTGATGTTGGTCGGGCATCGTATATATGAAGAGTTAGCGCAATTTCATTTGCGCGATGTAGGCTTCCATACTATTATGATCGCAGTGCAGGTAACGCCATCTCTTGAGGATGGTGAGTAATGATTTCCTCCATCCGTATATATGTGGGGCATATAGATGTCGCCGCCACACATGTTTTAAATTTTTGATGTCATCTTTCAATTGACGACTCTGTATGAAACAAAACAGGGAGAAAAAAATAGCCCTTGCTGAGTTTCTTGCCGGTTCTTCTCAGTACAAGGTCTCCCGCCGTAGATTTGCAAACCGATGGCGTAGCGTTTGACTTTCACAAGAGCTTGTAACAGCCTACACTGAATAAATGAGTTTGAGTTTGATAGAATGAGGAGATTGGACCATGACCCACCACTTGAACCCTTTAGCAGATTGGTGGGTATTAATTTATTTTAATTAAAGTTTAAACTTAGTACTGCTTTCCATAATATTATTTCTAATTTATGATTAATGTATCCACAAAGCAATATTATTTGAATAATCAAATTATGATTTTCAATAATCACTGAGAAAATTGATAAATACATATAGTAGGTAAGTTACTGTATTTATAAATCTGCTTTACTGATTATATTTAGGTCAAAATAGCGTTATAACCTTTTAAATTTATGATTATATAGAAAACATATTATGTTAATTCTAACATCAACCTTCTTTTTGGGTTCAATTAGATGTAAATTGCGCTTGCAGGTATTGATATTGCTAAGTGCTTATTTAATGCCCCCAATATCACTTGACAATTTATGCATCAGTACTAGAATTAAATAATGCCTTCTTTATATTACTATTTTATCTTGAAGATAAACAGTTAAATGAATGTCATATAACTGCATTTTACAATAGATACTACACTAAAAATAAACTTAAACCCATTAAGTTGCATAGCTCGGACGTAGCAATAACAGGGAATTTGCTATATGAATTTATTGATAAAATTCTTGAAATTCAATTTCAATCTTCAAATAGTATTTTCAAGCAGAAAACAAATCTCAAAACATTTAAATAGAAATATAAAGAAAACTTAATATTTATACGATCATTCATCATCAGTCTTATTGATTGTACATTGACTAACTTCCACGATAGATCACAGACCAACGGCACGGTAATATTATCTATACCAGTGGTTCTCAAACTTTTTAAATGACGGAACCCTTTTGGGAAGCAAAATACTTGATGGAACCCTACAATAAAACAATTATTTTTATAAGTGTATTCTATATTAATCAGCATAATAAAAGTACAATGTATCCGTTACTAATTATTATTTACTTCACCACTTGGTAAGGACAATAATAGAAAACATTAAAAAAGAAAAAATCTAACTAGTGGGAGGTATGAAACTGTTTTTTATTTTTCATCAATTGCTTGATATCAGGTTTGATGGAAGAAAGTTGGAGTCTCATATCAGCTTCGGCGTCCAGTCTATTGCGATATTTTGTTTTCGTGGCTGCGTAGGTAGAGAATCCTGTTTCGCACAAATATGTAGTTGGGAACGGGAGAAGAATATCCAGAGCCATTTGGCCAAGCATTGCATATTCATCTTGGATTCTGCACCAAAAATCATTAAGAGGCGTCGTTTTGAACAATGACTCCATACTTGTGTCTGATGACATTTCTAAAAGAGATTCATATATCTCATTTGACATGTTTTCAGGCTTTTCCAAGTTGGGTAAAAAAGGATTATGAATCCAGGAGTTCACTTTAATTTTTGTATTGTGTTCTTCGGGAAAATACTTTTCAAAAGATGCGCGCATCGAACTGAGATATTGGACCAATTCTTCAAACACATTATCTTCAAACATTTCTGAGTCGTTTTCGCTAACAAACTCAGTGAGTAACGTAAAACTTTCTATTTCTTTCTTACCAATGCAAATGATCCAAAAATCTAATTTTCTTTTAAAAGTAGTTATTTTATTATAGGCCTGAAACACTGTTGTCTGTTTACCTTGCAATGATAAATTTAATTCGTTAAGTTTTTGAAAGATATCCGCCATAAAAGACAATCGGAACAACCAAGTTTTATCATACAAACGGTCCTTCAAATTAAAAGAAGTATCTGCTGAAAGAAACATTTGTAACTCGGCTCTAAGTTCAAATAGCCTTGTTAAAGTTTTTCCCCGAGACAGCCATCGCACTTCTGTATGGAGCAGCAGTGTTTTATGTTTGCTGCCATAATCTTCACACAATAATGAGAACAATCGGGATTGTAGTGGTCGTGATTTGATAAAATTAATTATTTTTACCGCTTCATCCATAACTAATTTTAGATTAGACGGCATTTGCTTCATCGCAAGTGCTTGTCTATGCAGAATACAATGACTGGAACTACAATTAGGCGCTTTATTTTTCATTCGTGACACTGCTCCTGCTGTTTTACCTGTCATCGCCTTGGCCCCATCTGTACAAATGTCAATGCAATTGTTCCAACTGAGATTATGTTCTTCAAAAAATATATTTATTTTATTAAAAATTTCTTCCCCGGTAGTGTTTGTAAGCAGCGATGAACACATAAGCATGTCTTCTTCAAAAGAACTTTTATATGGATATCTCACAATAACCAGCAGGATAGCCAAACCAGCGACATCAGTCGACTCGTCCATTTGCAAAGCGAATCGTGTATTTTGTAGACGTGTAACTAGTTCTTGTTTGACGTAGCTTGCCAGATCATGGATTCGTCGTGAAACAGTATCGTTTGATAGCGGAACAGTAGAAAGATGCTTTGCAGATTTTTCATCAAGCATACATTTTGTTATGTCTAATACACATGGTTTTATTAATTTCTCAGCGATAGTGTGCGCTTCACCTGCTTGTGCAATGCGATAGCTAACTAAGTATGATGCCTCCGTGGCCTTTTCGTTGGTAGTTTGTGTTACATGCATCATATTTTTTTGACTTTCTAATAACTGATCTTTTTTGCGAACAAAAAATTCTTTATTCTTGTCTTTAGTCTCGGGGTGTACGGTTTCTAAATGTCGACGCAATTTGGCAGGTGCCATGGAACTATTAGGAAGCAGTTTACTACAGAGCATGCAGAGAGGTGAGCCGTTGGAATCAACAAATCCGAAACTGATATAAGATTCATCATACTTCCTTTTTTTCGTCTTTGAAACCGTCGAGCTTGACGTCGTGGCACTCGTGGCATCATCTTCTGGATCGGTGATTGCTAAATTCTCCGCGCGCATTGCTTTTGAACATTCAGCGTCATTAGAAGATGTTGTTGGAACACGTTTAACACCTTTAAGCCAACGTTCCATTCTTCTTTATTTATAATGTTACAAGTCAGGATAGTGGGGTTTAAATAATGCACAATCGTTACTGCGTATAAGAGACTAAATTTAGAACCTACAGGGAAGAAATGTATAAAACTGAGACAACAGAATACAGCAGGCAGTAAAACAATGAACACCAGTTTCTCGCTAGCGAGCTTGTAAGTAGGTAGTAACTTATCGCTCCGAACGCTAATCATCAACTGACGACGCCAACGCGCGATCGCCGCTTTTATACTTAGTCCTAGACTCGATCTCAAATATTCTCGAAAATACTCGAGTCGGCACCTTTGATAAACAAAAAGCAAAAATAAAAACAGAAATTTAAAAATAGCGTTGTAAACAATATCGACTTTATCCTTTGAAGTTAGAGACGAAAGTCGCTAGTTGACAACTATAGCGTCTAATTCAGAGGCGGCTTTTATCAAAGAGACTGAGCGCTTACAAGTATACTACCCGCTCGTTTTAAGTTTGCCGCTGGCGATAGGTATGAGTGTATGACGTTCGAAATTTTTTATTTAATTGTAACAATAAAAATTGTGTACGTTAGATATTTGGGTAAAACTATGACACATTATAAGTTTTGTTGTCACGTGGGGGAGGGTACGCGCATTCCACAGACCGGCAAACTTAGAGCGAACGCGTTGTACAAGTATAAAATTGTTGAGACCAAACTTATGAGATATTGTACCAGCTAATGTAACACAAGCTTATACAAATACAAATAAATAAATAAATAACATTCATAGCGTTTTGTCTCCGCGCGGCCGCGGAGTCCGCACAGCCGCGGAGCGACCAGAGAGAGGTGTTTTGATTTTTTTATTTCTAAATTCTTGCGGAACCCCGACAGAGGTATCACGGAACCCTAGGGTTCCGCGGAACACACTTAGAGTATAGCTGATCTATACAGTATTGTGACTCCGCCCTGTCCTTGAAAATAAATGCCTACACCGAGCGCTGCGTTGGCACGCGGTAGGGCCGCCAGCCTACAGTATTTTATGTAGTTTTGTTTTTAACGCGAGTGTAGATTACTCGTTTGTATCTTTTTTCATCCTAACCACTTACATATTTATATATAATTCCAGATATTTTGCCCGATGGAAAAACCGAAATACCTAAATATTAGAAACAAATAACGTACTAGTAGATAGGTATATAAAAAATATTCTATAAAGGTAAGACACCTTTCCAATATTTCAGGTAATTTAAAAAATGATATCTCTGGGTGTGTTATTGAAGAGTTCAAGCAACCAAAAACAGCAATTGTGCTGTTGTACGATATTGATCGTCGTTTGTTCTTTTCCATACTAAATTATGTAGGTAACTTCCTAATTAAATCAAATATTTACAATACAAAACGCACGTTTAAGCACGGCTAACTGCATAAAAAACAATTCATACCGTTCGGTCGTCGTTGCGGCGCGGCGGCGCATTCGCGACTGGCTGCACGCCGAGAGCACATCGAACTCGAGTGGCGTAGGTATGACTCGCTTTCCGACCGTTTGTATGAAGATAGAATACTGTATGATATTATTACCGTGCCAACGGGCAGGCCTCTCTTTCCTAGTGGGCACTTTTGGCAAGTTAAGATTTGTTTGTTTACAGGCGGTGTACAAATGGTGGCTACCGACGACATTGTTCGGCGCACTACCGCTGTTGAGCGCGGCGCTGACGCGGCTGGTGCCGGACACGCTGCACCGGCGGTTGCCCGACTCCTTCGCTGACCTGGAGCCCGCGCCGCCCGCGCAATCCACGCCGCCCGCTGAAATAGCGTAGTACGATGTCTATCGTACTATAGCCGCTGGACGTTACGGCAGCGCTTGTCCCCAAGCCGTGTTTATCGTATTCCCTTAAAGTAGATGACCGTTCCAAACCATATTTACTGTTTTCCGGACGCTGAGTTTTTGGTATTCCTATTAAGTGGTAAGATATTTTTTTACTTGTAATGTTAAAGTTAGGAGTTAGTAAATTGTCGTCATCATTGCCGGACGTCTTGGGTGTGGAGGCTATGTCAATAAAACTTTATGCCGCCTCTCCCTTGATGCTTTGGGATGTTGGCGGCTTTACAGACCTTGAGGTATGCTGTATAGTGTTGCCGAACTATCGATATTAAAACTATCGATAGCTTACATCGAAAATCATGTATCATGTACTATCGATAGGCCTATCGATAGAATCGATACAACCGATATTATCGAAACTATTGATAGCTCAGAACAAGGCAATACTATAGAATGAATGCAATACTATAGATACTATTGTAGTTCGTTAATAACAAACTATTGATAGTATCGATACTATCGATAGTGTTCGTTTTATCTGCAACAATGCTATCGATAGTATCGATACTAGCGATTGTTTTAGACTAAAGTTTGTGATTGACTATAACACCTGAAAATTGTAAACAATACTATTGCAAATTGTTTAACTATCGATAGTATGGTTGCAAATAAAATCGACAGTATCGAAACTATCGATAGTTTGTTATTAACGAACTACAATGCTATCGATAGTATTGATAGTATTTAACTCATCCGAAAGCATTGGCTTTTTCTGTGCTATCTATAGTATCGATACTATCGATTGTCATACGATTGGTTGGGTATCGATAGACTATCGATCGGCAACACTAATGCTGTAGCATAGTGTTTAGATGTTATAGTAAGTAATCATAAAAGTGCCTTCAGAAAGCAGTACAATGGTGAACTATGGAACGTACCATATTGTAAGCGAATATAATATTTATGTATTCTACTTGTTATTTTAGTTTATCTCTAAAATATCGTTTAGGAGACAAGGGGTTTAAAATAGCGACATTAGAAGAAACATCTTATATTTCATTTAGGAATTCTTTGATTTGTCATTATTAATGTTTCATGATGAATTAAAAAAAAATATGCCCTCGCAACATTTTAGACCCCATGGTCTCAATTTTCGTATCGTGGCATGCCCATTAATTTATCTAGTTAAGTAATGCTCCGGACTTTAATGTCATTCGCAATATGCGAGGAACCCGAAAAATTGTGAATGGAATTTCTAAAATTAGTTGTGTAATTAGATACAGATTGATATATTTAAGAGATATAAGAAAACATTTTGTATCATAAGAAATGAAATGCAAATATGATTTGCTTTAAGTTTATTGCATAGCAATAACATTGTATAATCAGCTTTGCTGTTGAAAAATTAAGTTTATACAGGGTGTGACTAAAGTCCGAAATAAAACTTTAGGGTTTGGTTGTGTTCCTTGTATGTAATTACCTACGAAAGTATGACGCCTTTCAGACCACTTTTATTTTCTAATTTAATTAATAAAAATATCGTTTTACACCTGCCTATGACAACCCTATAAATGCGTACGATTACTACTACCTAAACAGACCCCCCTCTCTCCCCCAGGCGCCCCTGCGCCCCGCTCAGATACCTAAATTTTTTTATTTCGGAATATATACCTACAAATTTTATTTCGGAATTCTGTAACATCCTGTATATACTACTTTGAACAGTTTGTCAAAAAATTGTTCTAGTGTGTAAAAAAATAAAATTCATTATTATTTAGCTTGCAACTTGTATTTTCTCACTTCAAAATTGTTATAATGAAATAATTTTCTAGTAAAACATTTCGATTTTTGCTTAGCGTTCTGTTTAAACTTCTACAATGGTATAGAACCTTTTGAGCACAGGTCTGACCCGCTATATTTTATGTTTTTAACCTAAAATTCCTTTTTATGGTTAAAACAATTAATTATTTTACTAAGTTTAATCAATGGACTAAGAAAGAATGCCTGCAAATAAGTTGGTATTTATTTGAAACTCGATTGGGTAGGAACTTTACAACTTCAATAAATGAAGCAATTAATTAAATAATGAAAGACAAGTGATTAAACTAAGTTTTGTCTTAAGTTCTATAAGTTTCCACTTAGTTGATAGTACAACTATTTATAAGAAACTTAATTTAATAATGATTGGTGCCAAGCACATTAACTTACTTCTCATTTGAGTTAGACACGTAATTACTTACTCATTTTTAATTATGCAATTGAATCTTTTGTTATTCTTTTCTAAGAAAAGTTGTTAGTAGAGAGATTAGCGTAGAATAGAATAGAATAGAATATTTCTTTATTGCAAAACTGTTATATTTAGTGGTACTGCTAGTTAGTGCACACAATTGAAATAAACAGTTACCCTAATCGGGCCTGCAATAGTCATTGTTACAAAATATTATTATTAAAATATTCATATAGATTATAAAATGCATTATATAATAACCATTGCTTCAGGGACCTTACAAACTTATATTCAGGAAGTGACCGCAGATAAGGCGGTAAATTGTTGTATATTCGTATGGCAGACATTATACGTACTTTTTTTTTCAAAAATTGCTGAATTTGATCGAGGTAAATGTAATTTGTCTTCACAACTCATCGGGGTTCTTCTAGCTCTCTTGTCAGAAAACTTTTGTAAATTCAGACATATGACATCTTAATAATTTACACATTTCTAATATTTTACAATTAACACTATGTTTTCAGACAGTATGGGAATGGGAAAACACTTTATGAAGAAGTGATACTTTGTTTCTGGGTGTAAATGAAAAAATCTATGGAAAAGATTAAACGAAAATTCGTCACGAGGAGCGAAATCCTCGTAACACGAACACCACAACACAATACATACAAGAGCAGTAGTCCGACTTCATGCTAGCGCCCGAATCGACGCACACACACAGGCAAACGTCTTTAACACGGCCGCTAACCAATTTTGGCAAACAAATCTACGCAGTGCCACATCTAGGGATGTCGAAATTTGAAAAAATATCGATATATCGATACATCGATATTTGAAAAAATATCAATATCTGCTTCGATATAATATCGCGAAAAAAACATCGATATATCGGACCAATTTTCCCAATAATATATTTAGGTCAGCCTAGCACAGTAATAATAACAATACAAATTAAAATTAAAGAAAGAATTATCAAAGTACCAAATTGCCGCGGCTACACTACATGACAGTACAGTATCTCACGAAAGATGATACGCGGAATAATAATGGAACGAAAATTATTTATCTAAAAATAGACCCTATTTTCAAATGATGAAAATGATTGCAGGGCCTCAGGTGCCATCTTTCGTAAACAAGACTAGACAGTCACACACTTCCACAGAATATAATGGAATTCAGCACAACCAATTCACCAGCAAAACAGATTTACAAATCATAGACAATACTTAATACAACACAGTTCATAGATATGTTGAATATCATTAATCTGAGATCCAGTTACGATTTTTCCAGATACGAATTTAATTAGATCGTGATTCGTTCGTTTTTGATACGAATTTCGATATTGGTTGTTTTGTATCGATGTATCGATATATCCAATCAAAATATATCGGCTAAAAATATCGATATATTGAACAAAAAATATCTATATATCGATATATTTTCAACAAGCCTAGCCACGTCGCGCGCCGCCGAGACTGGTCGTTGGCCGAGTTAAGTTAGCTGTGCCGTTAAGCCGTAACGTGCCAATAGTAACTCTACACATACAATAAAAATCTACACAAATATGTTTTATATTTTGTAGGTACCAACCCTAGCGCTAACCAAACCGTCGTAGGTATCTTACGACTGAGCGGAAAGCGATTTTAACGAAAACGGCTGAGTTACGCTATTGCTCTTGTATGTATTGTGACCACAATTTACATTATATCACGTTTTTATTGCACTTAACTACCAAACATATATACGTGTTATAATATAAGAAATATATATGAAATTAAATTTTACAGGAGCTGTATAAAACTGAATGACATACCTACAGTGAGGTTTTGGCATGGTTTTTAATTTATCAATTTAGTAATTGTAACAGTGTTTAAGACGGTTTTGATGGAAATTACTTGAGATTCAAATTCAACGGACCCAAAAACCCCCGGACTGTAAAAAAAAAAAAGACGGGTTGCACTCTGGGAGTGTCGGCAGAAGTGAAAACTTGAATATTAACGTTGTGCATTTTTGATATTTTGGAATGGTTAGGGAGTAATTTTGCACGAATTGCTTTAATTATCAGTATAAAAGTACTATCATGTATGTGGTAGAATACAATATTTATTTATTGCGCTATCGTACACAAACATGATAATTTATATTACATTAAAAAAGTTTAACTCTCAGAAAAATCAACTTACATGAATCACGTTTAAGCGCACTTAGCGGCATCTATTGTAAAGAAATCAACTTACACGAATCACATTTAAGCGCACCTAGCGACATCTATTGTAAAAAAATGCATTTTCTTCGCAATAAAGCTGCCACGTGGACGTCCTAGATAGAGACTTTTTATTATAATACGATAAAATAAGATATTACTATGTTTCGTCCAATATATTGAAAGTTAATAACCTTTCCAATTTTATTGTGTGTCATGATGCGATCAGCCCACGTGTTTAACCTGACGCGAGTTTAACATTTTTTACCCATACAAAAAAAAGTGTACAACGCCGCTAAAGAAGTTTTCACTTCAAAAAGTAGTTACATCATTTGCGTACTTATACAGTTTTGTTCGCCAGCTCCTCATATTATATCGTGGTGCTTATGGTATAAAGATGAATTTCAAGATACTTATTTACCGTTGAGATTTATTTTGTATTTTTATTTTATACAGTATTGTTTAAGAGATGTCACTAACAGAAAGCTCATACTCATTGAACTTACAACACAAAAAAATATAAAATATTTTTGTATTGAAAACTGAAATTTTTGTTTTATTTTAAGGCTCATAATCGCCATTTCCACGCCTTCCCTTTTTATTATTTTGCAGATAAAACCTCTATTTACAGACGTTGGCGCCCTTAAGGGGCACACCAACAAACGGACCTCACACCTAGCCTCTCGCAAGTAGGGTTACCATCCGTCCGGACTTTTTGCCTTGTGTCCGGACTTTGTCCGGCTTTTTAATTTGTACGGATTTTTTTAATAAGATTGAATATGAGTAACTTACTACTTATTAAGTTATATCAAATAAGTCAAATAATCTTTACTAAGCTCTCATTAATTTAAAACAAAATATAAATTATCTTTAAAAATCAACAACGAGATACCCTCAACGCTGTTAAGTGCGGAAACGCCGTTGTATTACCTACTAGATTAATTACAGTTTTTTTTTAATACAAGGCGCAACAAATTACCTCTGCCCACATGATGTTAAGTGTAAACGCAGTCCAGTCGCAAAGATATATGATGCGGCAGAAGGCGTGCCGCTCCAGCCTTCCTCAC